TCATTTTATAGCTGGTGAAAGCAGAAGCTCAGATCCTATTAAAAATCACATATTTTTGGATATTTAATTGTGATTTCTAGTGACTAATTTTGCCAATTATTTTTTGACAGGAAACTTACCAAATTCCTGATATATTTGCTGAAAATGTCTCTTAATATTGTCTACTTTTTATCTTAAAAAATGTTTTTTTAGCTGAGCACGGTGGCTCACACCTGTAATCCCAGTGCTTTGGGAGGCTGAGGAGGGATGATCACTTGAGGCCAGGAGTTTGACACCAGCCAGGGCAATAAGCAAGACCCCATCTCTGCAAAAATCTAAAAAAAATTAGCCAGTGTGGTGGCACATGCCTGTAGTCCCAGCTACTCAAGGCAGGAGGATTGCTTGAGCCTAGGAGTTTGAGGTGCCAGTGAGCTATGATGGTGCCACTGTACTCCAGCCTGGGTGACGGAGTAAGACCCCATCTCTAAAAAATTAAAATTAAAGGTCTTTTACACAAGAAGCAAGCAGCTTTTTTGTTTTGCTCTGTTGTGGCAAATTATAGCTGCCATTCATTGTGAAATTTGTGACATACTTACAGTCTTTTTTTTCTTTGCTCTTTCTGTGCTACTACTAGCTTCTACATCTTTACTCGATTCTGCATCAGCAGTATGCCTTGTTTTAAATTTTAAAATTTGTACATGATTATTTTCTTAAACTAGAAAACATATCATAATTAAAATAAGTATTTCAACTTAACCACCTATTACAATTGATATAGATATCACTATAACTTGTGCTGTATCCATAAAATATTCAAATAAACACATTACAATGTTACTTTAGTGCATACAGAAAAAAAATCATTGGAATGGAATCAATCTGTTTATACTATCTGGATTGGCAATGTGTTATGTGAAGTATTGGAAATGACATTTGTGCCTGATACGTGTGTAACAATGCAACAGTAATATCTTATGCAATTCAATGGTTACAGTGAAAGGTAGCTCTATTAAAACATTGAAATTATGCTTAACAGAAAAGTATTTTACATTGTGTCTTTTTAAAAAAAATTGTTTAAATTTAAAACCTACAGAGAAGCCTGGCTAGCTGTCAGTAGAGCATGGGCCTCTTAAAACCTACAGAGAAGTCCCATGTATCCTTCACCCATTTTTTTCCAGTGTTAACATCTTGCATAACTATAGTACAATATCAAAACCAAGAAATTGACACTGGTACAATTCACAGAATTTTTTAGATTTTACCAGTTTTACATGCATTCGTATGTGTGTGTTTGTGTAGTTCTATGCAATTTTATCGTGTGTAGATTCATGTAACTTACCACTATAATCAGGATATAGAACTATTCCATCACCACAAGGCTCCCTTGTGCTGCCGCATCATAACCACATACCCCTGCTTCATTGTGTAACTTTAAATTAATTAAAATTTAAAAAATGTTTGTTTCTTAGTCACACTAGCCACATTTTAAGTGCT